TATGAGGGAGTAGTGGATTTGTCCTAATGAGGTACTACATTCATTTCTTCCTAATTCTGAAGTTTGAGATGCTTGTTATCCAAATGTAAATGCTGGAAAATAAAAAACTGGATATGGTGATCTAGAACTGAGGTTTCTTGTGTTCAGTTATAAACCTGAGACTCAGGTATAGCTGGTTTATTTATTTATTTATTATTTATTAATTATTTATTTATTATTAATTTATTAATTTATTTTTTATCTATCTATCTATCTATCTATCTGTTTGTTTGTTTGTTTATTTATTTATTTATTTATTTATTTGGGTGCTTTGTCAGCATGTACATCTGCACACCAGAAGAGGGCATCAGGCAGTTGTGAGTTGCCATGTGGGTGCTGGGAATTGCACTCAGGACCTTTGGAACAGCAGTGACTGCTCAACCACTGAGCCATCTCCCCAGCCCATAGCTGGGTTTTCAAACCAAACATCCAGATAAGATGAACAAGAAAGACACAAACCCTGAGGCTCAAATGACCAGTGATCAAGGGCAGAGGAGAAACAAGGCAAGTGTTGTAAGATGGACTAGCCCACTACAGAGGAAGTCAACCAGGAAAGTTAGCATCCTGGATACCAAAAGAAGTAAGTACTTTAAAAGAGTAAGGGTTGAGCTGTGGGGAAAAAGTTCTGCTGACAGGTAAACCTGAGGTCTGAGAACTATTATAGTCTTAGCTACAAAGACAATGGTAACCTTGACAAGAGAGAGCAGTTTCAGGGTAGTAGTCTGACTGTAATGAACAGGCTAAGTAAAACAAGAAGAATAAAATAGGCTAAACAGAACAGGAGCAATAAAAACAACTCGGGAATTTTTCTAGATACAGAATTTAAAAAGGAGGAGGGGGTAGCTCAATCACTAATATGCTTGGTGAGGACCAGAGTTCAATACCAAGAACCCAAGATCATAGGATTGACAGTAACCACTCATTGGGGGAAGAAAAAAATTAAAGACCTGGAGAGATAGAAGACAGGAAGGGAACCGTACCCTTGAGTGGGAAAGAAGAAATGGCCCTAATATACATTATAAAGAGCACAAATGGCTCCTCTGTGGTTGTAACCAACACAGTCACAACAGCTGGCAGAGACCAGTAAATGGATGACTCTGTGGCACTTCTCTTTTGTTAGGCATGGAGCTGACAGGGCAGAGGGGCAGATGATGAAGGATTAAGTGGAAAAATATGTAATTTAAATTTCTTCAGCTGGGTGTAATCAGCTATTTAATCCATCTTTTGAGTTTCAAATTTTACTTTTTCTTTCTTTTTTTCTTTTTTAGAGTGTGTGGGGGGGCAGAGTCTCAAGTAGCTCAGGCTAAGAAGGAACCAGCTAGCCAGGTGGCAGTGGCGCATGTCTTTAATCCCTGCATTTAGGAGGCAGAGCCAGGCAGATCTCTGTGAGTTCGAGGCCAGCGTGGTCTACAGAGTGAGATCCAGGACAGACACCAAAACTACACAGAGAAACCCTGTAAAAAAGAAGGAATCAGCTACTTAACTGAGACTAACCTTGAATTTATGACCCTGTCTCCTACCTCTTGAGAGGGATTATTGGTGCATATCACCACACTTGGTTTACATTTTACTTTGAAAACTTCAGTTTCATTATTTTTAATATTTTGATCTTTCTTTTAAATCTGTTTTTTTCAGACTTCTATGTGTTTTTTATTTGAATACATTAAAACTTATATTAAATTACTTACGTAAAAAATTTCAGAACCTAAAGTCACTTACTGTCTCCAGTGTTTCCACTATGGATGTTCCTCAACTTCCCATGAGAAACCTCCCCCAATAAGCCCACTAAAACAAAAATATCAAATGGAAGTGCAGCCAAGACACACAACCTGGCATACATCATAGCTCAGAAACACGGGAGACAACTTGGGGAGAACAAGCTGTTTACCCTTGTGTCGGCATAGCTGACGGAGAACTGTGGCTTACTGTATCTGTTCAGCATTAAAGCGCACAGCTAGTCAGAGAAAACAAAAATCAAAATACGAAGCAGTTTCTACTGAGCAGATAAACTTTCTAACATCTGTAAAGTTAAAAAAAAAAATACTGTAAGTCCAAGCATCTTAACACAGGGGCTACCCGTATCTGATCACAGCATTCTCTTGCCTTGCAGTTTCGCGATTACTTTTTTGGGCACACTGCTAGCTGTTTATTCCACTGAACACTATCTCTGGAAAAAAAACAACTTAAGTCCTTAAGCTGAAAAATACTCTCTTCTAGGAGGAACAGGCATTTGCTTTCTCTGGTAACCTGGGTACATGAACCTGGGCTTGCTGTGAATTCAACTTCCGGCCGAAGCTTATCCTAGCACAAGCGGTACGAACTTGGCCTGCAAAGGCACGTGAGGGCCGCTCACAGTCGCAGGGTCTCCACTGAGTTTTCATCCCTTTCTTCTAGCAAGTTCTTTTACTTTCACCTTACACCAAGGATGTAGCTCTCTGGGGTCCAGGTTTTGTGGTGGGGCCTTACATTCTCCCAGCTTAGGGAAGACACTGGTGTAAGTTCTTGCCAATTCCACCCCACAAAGCTGTGAGACTAGAAGCTTGATCTTCGGGGTTTAAAAGAAACCCTCAGGGTAATGGAACAGTTACACTCACTGAGTCCCACATTTCCGACTTCCATTTGGTGGGGCTGTGTGCTTCTCGATTTTTTATGCCACTGCAGACAGGCATTTTAAAGGATTTCAAATATATCTGACTGAAATGCCTTTACAGGAAAACTGTATGTAACATGCCATGAATCACATTTGCATTTCATTTATAAGAAAATGGGGCATGAGATATACAAATGAACATCCTTTCACATGGTCAAAAATATTTTCCTGCTTTCAATATAGAAGGCAAAGTACCTATTTCCTTAAATGACTTTCTTATGAACAGAGGGGTTTTTCAAAAATTCTAATTTCTTCCCTTTATCTTTACTGGTTTTTTTTTTTTTCTTTCTACCAAGTTTAGGATACATGAGAAGTTTAAAAAAAAATACTGTCTTAGTTCCACTTTCTGATTTTCTGGTCTCTGCTTCTCTATACTCTGAAGCAAGCATGCCAATTTGTAAATACTGTGTCGAGCAGAAGGGACTACATTAGGGCCCTAGTTTATGTCACTTAACAAGTCAATTAAGCTCTCTGAACTTCACTTACCACAGCCTTACATTTGAGATATGTACCAAACAAAATATATAATTAAGCACGTTACAGGTTAAGGTGAAATCTAAAAAATGTTATTAAAGACTATATTAGAAAGTATCACTGGGAAACAAAACATACATACACTTCTGTAGCCTGTTTAGTGCAGCGATACTTTGAAATGCACAAATATTTAATTGCTGAACTATATATAGTCATTTGTATATAAGGAAATAGAATTACAGGTGCATTATAAACCACTAATAAGTATGATTATTGGTAGCTGGAGAAACCTTAAGTGAAGCTTCTAGACTGGTGATAAAGTATGCAATTAATATACAACATATATTAAGCAAGAAAATAAGAAATCAGACTTTATGAAAACATCTAATGTAAATTCCACTCAAACCAAACAAAACTAGTAATTAGAAAATAATTTTGCCACTGACAGCCTGGGAAATTTATTTTTGCTAAGTCTAGAAAATACATCCAGAATTCTATCATAGTGTTTTCCAAGCCAAGCTAAGATGCAGTGGGGGAAAAAAACTGTATTACAGATACTTGCAAGGCTTGTTTAAAATGCTGATTCCTTGCTCAGTTCCAGATGGAATCAGAATATACCGAAGGGGTCAGAGAACCTCCATGTTCAATAAAGAGTTTCTTTTCCTTTCCCTTTCTCCTTCCTTTTTCTCTGCTTAATTCATTGTTTAGTTTTTTTGAGAGAGGGTCTTTCTATGCAGTCCTGGCTAGTCTGGAACTTGGCATGTAGCCCAGGCTAGGGTCCAACCTGTGGCAATTCTCTTTTTTTTTTGTTTTGTTTTGTTTTTGCCTCCTGAGTGCTGGGGTTACAGGTGTGTACCACTGTTCCCAGATGCTGCTTCTATTTTTATCAAATTATTCATTTAAGGAGCACTCACATAAACAGGAACAGAATATTCAAGCATTCTAGGATTTAGTGCTGGGCATTATAACATCAAGAACGAAGTCGGAAAAACATGTTTACACGGTTACCCTCATAGTTACCATCATTTTTTTTTCTTAGCAATGAGTGCTAATTGCTTCAAACTGCATGCCCCCTCATTACCAGGCCATCTGAGACACTTTTGTTTTGCTTCGTTTTGGCTCTTTGAGCTAACACTTTGCAGCAGGTGCAGACAAGATGCAGCAGCATCTGGCAACCTAGTCAAATCTTACTCACCTAAAAAAGCAACAAACCTATCTCCAAGGCAAGAGGCTGTGATCAGCTAACCCTTGGTTTTCTAGCATATAGAGAACGGTACAGTAATATCTGCCTCATCGAGGCAACCCCAAAGTCCAACGGACTCTCCAGCCAGCAAGCCTCACTATAGACTTAGAGGCCCACAGTCAGGGCCCAGACCCTCCGAATGTCGTTAGGTGGGCTTACCTGGCGATGCCACTTTGCATACGTAGGACAGGTGCGTAATAAAGTGGGTAAAGCCTGACAATCTCTAGTACACAAGTTCAAGGAAGTGAAGTCCTGTCCCCCTCTAGTCCTCTCAGGAAGAGGGTGGAGAGCCTGTCATCTCCAGAGGGAAAGGTGTCAGAGGTTTCTATCCCCCTCTTGCTCTAGACACCGCGGTTTTTCTCCCCGTCACCATCACAATGATAAAGCCGCTAGCGCTTACTGGCCGTCACCATCTTCCTCTTCCGTCTGCCTCCGCCACGCGTGTCGCGTCCCCGCGCCAGCCGCGCTTTACAGACGTTTCCCGCACTAGCCGGTGCGGTTCTCTCCGTCTCTGGCCGGCCACTCGCACCTGCACCTCGGCCTCTCGGCGACGCCGGCGCGGCCCGTCCCCCGCCGCCCGCCCCTCGGGCTTACCTGGGTCTTGACGAGACTTGGGAGGAAGCTCAGGGTGACCAGTAATTGCACGGCGGCCGCCGCCCCCTGCCCGGCGACGGCCCGGCGGAACCCCGGACTCATGGTGACCTCGGCCGCTCAGAGCTGGGGAAAGGCGGGCCGCTGCGACGACGACGGCCGGAGGCAGTGCCCGGGAACCGGGAGCCTCCAGGACCCGAGGTCTGCGCGCCGGCCTCACGATGGGAAGGAAGACTCTACCGTTCCCAGCAGCAGCGACTGATGTACCAGTGCTGCGCGCCCCCGCTTCATCCCAGGAGGCCCCGCCCCCGGCGTCCTCAGTTGTGATCACGCCCTCTGTGCAAAGCCTTCTGGGAGTTGTAGTCCCGACATCCCCGTGAGGCCCCCCCACAACGGGAAGGCCTTGAAAATGGAGAACTACAGGCTCGGAGGTCGCTCTGCCTCCCTGAGGCGGGGCTCCGCGGCGGCCAATGAGGCGGGACCACGAGGGCTCCAAAACACCCAAGAGCGGGCGGGAGACTTGGTACTGTTTTAGGGGTTGGCGGTGGCGGCGAAGCATCGGAATTGTCGCTCTGGGAAACGAGGCTGGGCCCCCCCCCACCCCCCGCAGGGCTTCTGGCTTTGTGCTGGTTGCTCCTTGTCATCGCTTGTCCTTTTGGAGCCAAGACATTCTCAACAGGCGAGAGCTTTAACCTGCTGTCCCAAGAGCTTTCTTTGCCTCTTTTTTCACCTCTGCAGTTACCTAAAACTGCCTGGCATCTTGTCAAGGTGGCTTCAGCACCTCCTTCAAGTCACACGCCCCAGAAGTGAATGCTGTTGCTTGGTGTCTCCCCTACGCCTCTACCAACACCGGACAAATCTATAATGCACTTTAAAGCATAAAGATAAACTCAAACCTACATAGCGAAAAAGAAGAATCGGGATAAAGGCACAGAAAAACTTGAAGCGACATGGGCTATCCCAGATTTAATACATTCTAGTTATAAGCATTGTGACTCAGATGGGAAGGTATCCTGGCAGTTGGGAGCCAAGGAATACCACAAAGTCAGTTTCGTGATCTTAATTACACCTCAAATATTGTCCTAGGACTATTAAGATTATGTACATAGGCTTCCTGTAGTGCCTAGCAAATAGGAAGTATTCAATAAATGGTAACCGCTAGCTTTATCAATATTCCTGGGTTGTAGGAAATACGTTCGGTAGTGTGTATTAATTTGTCATTGTTGATGTAACAAATGACCACAAATTTAGTGGTTGAAAACAAACCTAATGTATTATCTTACATTCTGGAAGCCAGAAGTCCAAAATGAATCCACAGTACTGCATTCATTTGGAGTATTCTAGAGAACAATGTTTCCTTGCTTTTTCCAACTCTAGAATCACTTGCATTTCTAGACCTAGGAAATCACGTGACACAGTGTCATAATCTGCTTTCTGTTGCCATGTGTTTTCTGGCCCTCTCTCTCTTGTTCCCCTGAATATAAAAACCTGTGATTACATGGGGCTTGACCAGATAATCCAGGCAATTTCTTTATCTCAAAATCCTTAGTCACATCTTCAAAGACGACTCTTTTGCCATCTCACATCTACAGATTAGGACAGGGACATCGGTGACTGCCCACTAATCAACCCAGCAGTGCTTTATATCTTTCAAAGAGCATTCACACACATGATTCCTCTGGACCTACTGCATAATCCATAGGGTCAGCTAAAAATGAAAATTCAAGGACTCTTTTCAAAAAATGTGAGGAATTTCAAGACAGAGACAGCAGAGCAATACACCAAGTGCAAGGCCCTGGACCTCTGCAAGTCTTCTCACGAAGCAAGCTCCCTTTTTTCTTTTCTCCTCCACATTTCTGTTGCTTCCACTTGGGACTAGGCCTTCTTTCCCTACACAACCAACAGAGAACTTGAACTTGCTTCTCAAAGCTGCCTTTCCATGGGCCTCATTTCTTTGTGCTTTGGATATGCAGGGGACTTTCTTTGAGCCCCTCTGTGCTTCATTTGGCCCTGATAACACATATATCATGGGACATGGCCATAAAATTTTATTAGTTAAAAACTTTACTATTTTTTATTTATTGTTTATTTATTTTGGTTTTTCAAGACAGTTTCTCTGTGTAACTCTGATTGTCCTGGAGCTCACTCTGTAGACCCAGTTGGCCTCAAACTCAGAGATCCACCTGCCTCTGCCTCCAAAATGCTGGGACTAAAGGCATGCACCACCACTGCCCAGCATAAACTGTCCTATTTTAAAATCTCAAAGCTTTTAATATCTGGTATCAAGGGCAGAACTCATGCTTGACATTCAGAGCACTTCAGGGTTTGTCACTGAAGAAAAACTTGAGTGATCAGTTGATAGGAGGGAAAAAGTTTGCATGTGGGCCACAGTGTTTGTTTTTCAGCTCAGAAACTTGACTCACGGTGTTTGGAAACAATTCTTCCCCCTTGGTGAGTGAAATCAGAAGTAGGTGTTTTTCATGAGAAAGGTACCGAGGGTTCTGCTGACCTGTGCTGCGATCTGTTGTAGTGTTTATTGTAATGAGCAGTGTGAGGGGATTAGGAGTTGATGAACAAGCGGCCTTCCACAGTTTTAGCCTTGCTGTTTACTTCTTCTTTCCTGAAAACCAGCTACATTGCAAACAGCATTAGGGCAGGCATTGCCTCTATGATGCCAGCCATGCTTCCTATCTAAGATCCTCAGTTTCAAACTTGCCATCCAAATGACTGGGTTGCAAGTTGAAACAGGAAGGCCAAACCACATCCCTTTAACGGCAAGCTATAGGAAAAATTCAGATCCAGCTAAATTTAAAAAGAACAAGAAGCTGGGCGGTGGTGGCACACGCCTTTAATCCCAGCACTCGGGAGGCAGAGCCAGGTGGATCTCTGTGAGTTCGAGGCCAGCCTGGTCTCCAAAGTGAGTTCCAGGAAAGGCGCAAAGCTACACAGAGAAACCCTGTCTCGAAAAACCAAAAAAAAAAAAAAAAAAAAAAAAAAAGAACAAGAAAAATAACAGTAAGTAGAAAAAAATGACCACTCGTGGGACTGAACAAGGCTTCATCACATACAGCTCTGGAAAGGTGAGTCCATCAGGGTGTAATTCAGGGGCCAAGAGGAGCAGGGACTATTGGCTAGTCTTTTCCAGAACATTACCATTGTACTGACTCGTTGTTTCCAGTTACTTTTCATCATTTACTCTCCTATCCAAATTCCTCGAGTTTAGCTGAGAGAGGGCATACTGGCTGGTTTTGTGTGTCAACTTGACACAAGCTAGAATCATCAGAGAAGAAGCAGCCTCAGTTGAGGAAAAGCCTCCATGAGATGCAGCTGTAAGGCATTTTCTCAATTAGTGATCAACGGGGCATGGCCCATCCCATAGTGGGTGGTGCCATCCCTGGGCTGGTGGTCCTGGGTTCTATAAGAAAGCAGGCTGAGGAAGCTAGGGAAACAAAGCCAGTAAGCAGCACTCCTCCATGGTCTCTGCATCAGCTCCTGCCTCCTGGTTTCTGCCTTCCGGTTTCTGCCTCCCGGTTCCTGCCCTGTTTAAGTTCCTGTCCCTACTTCCCCAATCTGAAAGTATAAGCCAAATAAGCTCTTTCCTCCCCACCTTGGTCTTTGATCATAGTGTTTCTTTGCAACAATAGAAACTCTAACTAAGACAGAGGAAGAGAGAAGATAGAAATAGAGAGCACAAAAATATTGACAACCCTACAGAACTACAAAGAATGGGAAGAGAGGCTAGGTACACAATGCATGGTGAGACCCACTCCCTTCCCTCATTAATAATTCCAGGGTAAGAGTGTCATACAAATTCACTTTTTTTCCTTATGGTAGTAGAGATTGAACCTCACACATGCTAGTCAAATACTGTACTGCTGAGCCATATCCCCAGTCTCCTCTCCTTCTCTCTCTCTCTCTCTCTCTCTCTCTCTCTCTCTCTCTCTCTCTCTCTCTCTCTCTCCATATATATTTTTTATTTGACTGGGCAATAGTGGCACACACCTTTAACCCCAGCACCCGGGAGGCAGAGGCAGGTGGATAAGGACAGCCAGCGCTGTTACACAGAGAAACCCTGTCTCGACAAAAAAATGTATTTGTATTTATGTGTACGTGTATGTGCCTGCTTTTTGTGAACATTGTGTATGCAGTGCCTGCAGAGGACAGAATAAGGTATCAGAGCCCCTGGAACTGGAGTTACAGGAGGTTGGGAACTGCCTGATATGGATGCTTGGAACAGAACTGGGGTCTTCTGCAGGAGCAGCAAGTGCTCTTAATTACTGAGCCACCTCTCCAACTCCCGTATTATTTTTTTAAATCCTGCTAAGTTGCCTAGAGAGGCCATGGAATTTTGATTCTCCTGCCTCAAGCCCCCTGAGTAGCTAGAATCACAGCCTTTGCCACCAGGCCTGGCTTTCAATTCACTTTTCTTTACCTTGGCTTGCATTCATACATTCATTAAGTTATCTCACATGTCCTGGGCTGTGGGTACACTGAAAAGCATACATCAAGACACCGGCCAGCCAAACACAGCAGTAATATGTTCTTGCGGATAATGTAATTTATTATTTACAGACCTCCTGGCTTAGACAAGCCTAATTATCTGGAATTAAGCTGCAGGAAAATTATTTTTTTAAGTGGAAAAAATATATGAGCCTCCCAGATCAATTCTGGGAAGAGTGAGAACCAGCTTTGTCAATTAGTACAACTCCTTCAGGGCAAACAGAGATGATTTCTCATTGATGTGGTTGGGATAGATTATAGTTAATTCTGTGGGAGAATCAATCTTAGTACAGATAATGTATTACTTTTCTCATTGCTGTGACCAAATACCCAACAAGAAGCAACAAGGGGGAACAGGTGAGTCCATCATGGGGCTAGGAAGGTACACGGAAGCAGGGGAGCAGGCTCTAATCTGTAGCAGTGGGAGCATGAGGCTGCATGCTCATATCTCAGTGGACTAGGAAACAAATCAGGCTATAAATCTTAAGCTGACCCATTGCTCCTCTCACATCACACACACACACACACACACACACACACACACACACACACACACACACCAGGAACTGATTGCCTCAAGTCAGGTCCCGCTTCTAGCGTGCTCACAACCTCCCAAAACAGTGCTACCAGCTGGCCAAGGATTCAAATACAGGAGCCTCTGGGGACATTTTATATCCAAATTATGACAGCCATGATTTTATTTCCTGTGACTCTTAAAGGAGCCTAACCCAAATGAACACAAGTGACCTGAGCATGTTTCCCCTTTTTGAATGGATCTTGTGAATGGGGCTTAACCACTG